CATTATGTTGTCAAAATGATAAGTGGTGGTGGTGAGTGGTCAGCTGCCAAGGAAAAGGCAGTCTGTCCTGGAACAAAGTTAATTGAGTACATGAACAGCTACGCAAAACAAGCTGTAGGCAGTCCCTGATAGGAATATCTCATTGATCTACTGACAAATAGCCCTGGAAGTCTGGGGGACCTGAGGTGCATGTGGGAGGTCACACGGACAGGGACACCTTTGACCTGACCAGGTTGCTCCAAGCCCTATGTCCAACCTGGCCTTGAACGCTTCCAGGGATGGGGCAGCCACAGCTTCTCTGGGCACCCTGTGCCAGGGCCTCAGCACCCTCACAGGGAAGAAATTCTGCCTAAGAGCTCATCTCAATCTCCCCCCTGTCAGGTTAAAGCCATTCCCCCTTGTCCTGTCCCTACAGGCCCTTGTCAAAAGCCCCCCTCCAGCTTTCTTGTTGGCACCTGTAGACACTGGAAGCTGCTCTAAGGTCTCCTGGAGCCTTCTCTTCTCCAAACAGAACAAGCTCAGCTCTCTCAGCCTGTCTCCGTAGCAGTGGTGCTCCAGCCCTTGGAGCGTCTTTGTGGCTTCCTCTTCACTCACTTCAATAGCTCTTTGTCCTTCTTATGTTGGGTGGTTGTCCTTGCAGATCTAGTCTTTCATTCAGGTCCAGAATGTTCATACATTTATAGGCCTTTATTCTTGTTTTATCATATGTTTTTTCCATTTTTGTGGTTGAATCCTGGAATCGGCACTTACAGCTGTTGCTGCCTTCTTTTGCTGCTTCTGTGTGGCTGCAATATTTCTCCCCTCTCCTTCCCCCCTTATTTCTCTCAGTATTCATTCTCCTTTTATATTGGTCTCTATGTCATAGCTACGTTCACTCACTTCTGGGTTCTTACAGCTTCACCAGTGTTTGACCATTTAATAAAAAACGAAAATTGGAAAAGTGGAGGGTCATTAGGCAATTGATTTTCATCATAAGATTCTCCATAAGGACAGTCCAGGTAATAGTAGCCTTTTTTCTGTCACATAATGTACTTTCACCCTTTAATAATATATCAACAAAGCATCTGGCTTGAAAATTAGACTCCTGAAACACCTCTGGCCTTCTTCTCAGAGGAGCTGGCTTCACTTATTTCTAATGGGAATGCCCAGAAATGATAGCAGGAGTGCAGTAGCAGAAAGGTTAATAGAGTTATCCCTGACATGACAAACATGGCACTTCAAGAATGTTTTTATTCTTAAAAATATAATGTTTTGGGGAATATCATGCACATGCTGCTTTTGAGCAATATTCTCCTATCAGGTGGTCAGGATGGAGTGTTACACAGCTTTCACTGATCTGTAACAAATATTCTGTCAAGGATGATGAAAAGGGAAATGAGAGATACCTGACATTAAAGTTTTAAAAGTAACTACTTGGGGTTAAAGTGTCTTCATGAGTTTTCAAATGGGTAAAGGTCTTTCAATGTGTACAAATACTTGTTAACATTTGTAGCTTATATTATCTGTATTCAGACATGCATTTACTGTTTTTAATGAGAAAACCATAGGATCATAGAATGATTTAGGTTGAAAGGGACCTTAAGTACCACCTGGTTCCACCCCCTGCAATAGGCAGGGTAGACCTGAAAGTGATTTTGCATTTTTTTCATCATTCTCTCATGATAATTCTTCTCATGAAACTTGCCTGATAGATTTGCCTTCCCTGCAAGTGAAGAAAATAAGCTTTAGATATGTGGAAGGAGAACCAATCTTCTCAGTGACTTCTGTGTTAGATTCCAAATATAGTAACTTAAGTGAATGAATAGCTTCTTCTACTCCTGAGTTTTCCACTTGTAAGGTAGAAGTCATGCTCATCTGGAAGGTATACTAGAACAGGTATCCATGTGTACTACTTTTGCAAGACATAGGTGTATTTGAGTTAGATGGAGAAATATATGAATAAAGGGATTTTGAGAAACGGCAGAATAAGAAGTCATCAGGAGGCTCTTCAAGGGAGAATTTTATATGCACAAATTTTGGGGACATTAAGGTGAAATATTTAAAAGTTGGAAAAAGAATTGGAACTGAGAGATGACCAATGCACAGATAAATACTATTTTTTCCCTAATTCATAGCAGAAAGATCACAGTGATATCTAGTTATTCCAAAAGAATAAATTTGTAGATTTTTCTGTGAGCATGGGGTTGTAGATAGAGTTGAATGACAGACCTACGTGTTGTGCTGTACTGGTAAACCTGTCAACAACAAAGATGGTCAGATTTGGGATACAGATAGATAGAAGAATACTTGGAGAGCAAGATACCTTAATGCAAGAAGGAAAGAGGAGATGACTGACATCAGAACAGTGGGAAACCCAGATGAAAACAAGGAGAAAAACAAACTGAAGAAGCTAGTGGGGAAGGTGAAAACCAGACGGAGAGCATGAAAAAAAGTCCTGAAGTACAAGGTGTGGAGAAAATTTTGTATTTTTTTCCTACTTGGAGGCTAGTGGATTAAGTGGGATGCTAGATTAATCTGAGCTGGAAATTTATTTATGTGGTGAAGGAGAAATTGGTTGCATTCTGGCAGCTCAGACTGGAGGGAGATGCATCTTGGGAGGTGTCACTGAGGGCGGTGTAAGCATTTCAGTGGAGTGGGGCAGAACTGTAATTACAGAGTATGTAAGAGAAGAGAGAGGGAATTAACAGAGCTACAGCAAACTACATATTTGAAAAAAAATTATTTAAGACAGGAAGGATGTAGTCATTTCTGCAATGAGATCCACTGTATTTGGAGCAGGGGACATTGGGAGATAAAATAAGGCTCTTCATATTATTAGCAAGGCTCTTCAGGAAAGCATTTGGCTACTAGGGAAAGTATTCATTTTTTCTGCCATATTTTCAGTTAGAGTAATGTAGAAATAGTTAAAATTGTTTATTTCTGTTGGAATTATATATATGTATTTTAATATAGCTGAAATACTCTGTTGTTAGTACATACAGTTTTTGAAGGAAAACTAATTAAAAGATGAGTTTCTAATAGTGACAGCTGAAGTAGGATACCCTTCCAGAGGTAATTCCCTGACAGTAATTTCTATGAAATCTTTTTGTTCCCATGTCGATGCCTGATGGTCTTTCTGTAAAGGCAAACTGACACATTAAGAGTTTTCTGTCAAGTGCACAAAGGAAAGAAATAGAAAAATTACACATGGTGTATTTTTTTCCAAGTTGTCCTGTCATAATGATGCTAGGTGCTAATTGAAATGATATGATGTGCAATATTTTGAGGCAAAAATGTGATTTTAAAGTTAATGGTGTTTCTTCTGGAGTTGGGAGGCTACTGGGGAAAACATGGATAGGACTTCTACAGTCACTGGAAAGAAGACAAAGGAAGCCTTGGGTGAATATCTAATTTATCCACCTGTCTGAAGGTCAGTTGATTAACCTATTTTTTTAAAAAAGTCCCCAATAGTTAAGATTACACAGTCTCTCACAGAATGCAGCAGTTGTTATCTTTATAAAGTTTTTCCTTAAGGCTTAAGAGAGATCTTTATTGTTTTGGTTTAACTTGTTTGATTTCTTGTTCTGCTCATGGTACTTACTTAGAACAATTACTATGCTCCAATTAAGTACCACATTTTCAGTATTTGAAGGCTGCTGGCAGTTTTTTCTTGATTGAATAGATGTAGCATGGGATTTAGTGCTGGTTTCAGATCTGAAATGGAGATATTGGCGATATAATGGGGGCTTATAAGGATGCTGGGGAGGGACTCTTCATTGAGGACTGTAGTGATAGGACAAGGGGTAATGGGTTAAAACTTAAACAGGGGAAATTTAGATTGGATATAAGGAAGAAGTTCTTTACTGTAAGGGTGGTGAGTCACTGGAATAGGTTGCCCAGGGAAGTTGTGAATGCTCCATCCCTGGCAGTGTTCAAGGCCAGGCTGGACAGAGCCTTGGGTGACATGGTTTAGTGTGAGTTGTCCATGCCTAAGGCAAGGGGGTTGGAACTAGATGATCTTAAGGTCCTTTCCAACTCTAACTATTCTGTGACTCTGTATAGTGTGTCTCAGGGTGCTCTGGGTGTGTGGGCTCCCATTATGTTCCATGGAGGTGTAGACCTGGAGTGAAGCCTAGAAAACTTGCTTTATAGGCCAAAGAAACGGGTGGGAAGAGCAAGTGAAACAGAATTTCTTGATAAATTTATTAGGAAGAAATATCATTGTTGAGCCTGAAGAAGGCTTTAGGGAGATCATAGAGCAGGCTTCTGTACTTTAAGGGGGGTGACAAGCTGGAGGGAGGCTTTTTACAAGGGCGTGTAGGGACAGAACAAGGGGGAATGACTGTGAACTGACAGAGGGGAGATTGAGATGAGCTCTTAGGAAGAAGTTCTTTCCTGTGAGGGTGGTGAGGCCCTGGCACAGGTTGGAAGTGCTCAAAGCCAGGTTGGACAGGGCTTTGAGTAGGCTGATGTAATGGAAGGTGTCCTTGCATGTGCTAACAGCTTGGAGCTAGATGACCTTTAAGGTCCCTTCCAACCCAAACCATTTGATGATTCTATGATTTACCAGCTGCATTGCCATACTTGGTGTATCACAGACATGCACCTGATGGACAAGACAGATACAAATTAAATGGTTTACAACTGGCAGACAATCTCCCCTAGCCCTCTCATTGGGCTTTAGTCTACTCTCCAAAGACCTTTGAGAAATGTGAATTTTAAAGAAACACTTTTAAAACTCCAGGGCTTTCCAAGCCTGAGAAACAAAGCATGCTCCTGTTTTAGACTGAGGAAGAGTATTTTTCCCCCTTTTTTAGCTAAGTAAACTATATCCCTGAATCAAACCTTAGGGAAGATTTAATCAGTAAGTCCCAAATAACAACTTATCCCTGAAATATCCGAGACTCTGTGTGGTGTCTCTCGTCAAGGAAATGGTAGTATCCATAGACATATGAAATGCTTCAGTTAGGGAAGTTTTGGTGTTTTTTTTTCTAGATAATCAGTTTTCTCATTAGTGTAATGCATATGTTTTAAAAAGTTGGCATTTTGCCTGTCCAAATAGCTTGAAGGTTAAAGAAAGTTTATTCCTGTAATTCGCCTGTGAATTCTTGCCATTTGGAATATTTTGAATGAAGTTCCAAATGTAATTTTCTATCCTTAAAGTTTTACAGTCTACCCAAAATTTTTTCACAAAGTTAGCTGTTAATGCTGAGCCATTACTCCTATGAAAGCCACAACCAGAACTTGTGCTTCTGAATTAGGAGATGACATCACTGGCATCTACGGGTCTGTGGAGATTGCTGAGGATTTTTTGTCTATTAGCTGCAATCAGATTTATTATGGATTTTCAGTTGATTTTTAGTAATGCTAGAATCGATAGGAAGTAGTAGTTTTCAAGCTGGAGTTTAGAAAGTTAAAATGTGCATGACTTTTGAATGTGATCTTAATTCAGATCTAGACGTCTCCCGCTCCTGGCATCTTCCCATGATCCTCGTGAGGAGAGAATGAAACATATTACTTAAGGAGTATTTGGTGCTTATTAAAATTACACATACGCCCGCCTTCAAAAGAGTCTTGATTTACTGCAGGTTGTTCATGTGTCGCATGCGGACATTTTTAGAGAACAGATTTCTTATCACTGTGAACAGTGAATGGCTTCCAGTGCTCCACGATCAGTGAGCAAAAATGTTATATCCATTGTAAAAGGTAGGAAACCATGAAATCTATAAGCCGATTTGGCAGAAGAAGCGGTTGTTGGTGCCAAGATTTGGTTACTGACCCACAGTTTCCTGTTTTTAAATATATTAATTGATTCGCAAAGAGCATCTTTTGGAAAACAAGAACTCAGACAGACTGGCACAGGCTGGAGCTCCGCCAAGACTGCTCGGGAAGGTTGCCATGCTGGGAGCGAGCGAGTGAGAGAGCGAGCGAGCGAGAGAGCGGAGGAAAGAAAAAAAGGCAAGACTTGGCACGGCTCAGTCAAATCAGCTTCTTTTGTCTGCTTTCTCGGCTTGAGCTTCAGGAAAGAAAACCGTCCTGGGGTACAGAAAAACTCAGAACTTTTTGGTTTTCAAACTTAGATAGCTTTTTAAGTCTCTTGGGCTGTTTGAAAGTGGTGGTACATTAAATGACATTCAGTTGCCAGTGGTAAGAGAAATAAAAAGACTTCTTTAATGAAGCCTCCACAATGTCAGTTTATACATATGGGAAATACGATATTTGATTTTTATAATTTTTTTTGGTATGCTGAGTAAACTGTAAGAGAGCCGAGTAACTTGGAAGATTACAGAGGGAATACCTAAATAAAAGGGATAATTGTCATTTTTTGCATTAAAAAAAAGTTTTCATCGACATGAACATGCTTGAAAACCAAATCTGACCTCCTTCGGAATATGTTCAGAATGGGAATTTCAGCGTTTCTCTTATATATGCTACAGAGGTGAACTTTTAATGGAACCTCCTTAAAGATTTCGTCTGAGCCAGCAATGAAGTGAGAGTAGAAAGTTGTGACATCTTAATACAAAAGTAAGTATGTTCTTAAAGCAACAATATTTATTTGTGCTCCTTCACACTGTCCTTGCTCCATCTCCCATCTATTAGTGACAACACTGAAGACCAGCAGGGCAAGCCGAAGACACCCAGGCTACGCCTGAATGGCACAAAAAGAAAGGAGAGCATGGTTGCTTTGCTGCTGCTCTAAAATATTTCTTCCAGTGCATCTTACTAGAGAGGGTGTGAAATTGATGAATTTTCTACGTTTAGAGGAAATAAGAGATAGAAAAATACTGACTTCTGCCAAGTGAGGAATGTTTGAAGATGACAGAGCTGGATTTGAACTGATGACACTGGATACAGAAACTTCAGTTTATAGTCACAGTACCTGTTTGCTGTAAATTGTGAAAAAATCTGCTCTTTTTTCATACATGGATTAAACCAAAATATGTGACGACGTGGATGTCTTAATGATTTCAATAAAATTAAGGACCTAAAATCCATTGTTTGTTTTCTCCAAGGGTGCCTGGATTTTCACTGAGACAGGTACCTTATTTCTGATTTCATAGGAACAAATAATAGCATGCTACCTATTAGGCCTGGATGTGGTTGGATTATACTTCTGCTGTGACAGTCAGCACTATTATTTCAGAGAGTAACTGTAAAGCATAGATTTTTATGGATCGTCTTCACTTATAGTAAGTATTATACTGTCCTTAAGGACTAGATTGTTCAGCCTTTAAGATGTGCAATTTCTGGCATGCTGCAGGAGTACATGTACCTAATTCTGATATGCTGAAAGAAAGTAAGGGGGAAAAAAAAAGTAATGAAAAGCATTTTAACAGGAATGTGTTTGTATTTTAACTGTACATCATGGCATTTTGATTACTAGACTACTAGAAATAACTGTTCTTTTTGATTATGGAAAAGAACTTGGGTTACTTAATATTACATTAAATTGGTTTCATAGCAAGATATGTCATATTTTTACTACATTAGTGAACCTTTTGATAGATACTGGAGTTAAATAGTGGGTAAGATGCTGTTGTGATTACCATTCGATGCACTGAAACCTTTTAATATGGTTTGTTAGTGATTTTTGAAGAAAATGCCTCCATCATGTTATTATAAAAACAGCAACCCTATCTTTCTAAATCATTAGAAAATATATTCAACAGCTACATTCTTAAATAGTTATTCCGCAATAGATTGCAAATTGATACTCGGTGGAAAGGAAGTGTTTGGAGGAGTTCAGTTTTGCTTTCTGTGTAGTTAGCTAGTATGTTCATTCCTGCACAGATATTAACATGTGATGTGATCGGGAAAACAGGGAGATGTGATGGGGATAAGTTTGCAATCACAGCTGTGTAGTAAGTTTGTCTCTCTGTGTGCATATTATGAAATTAATTTCCTGTATTTCTTAGAAATAGTCTCAAAGCGTGTGCTATTTTATCACAACATTTCAAAACAAATTTTTAATGGGTATCCTTATTAAGAGTCAGAAAACAATAGAAAACATTTATCGTGGTGTCTCTAAGTGAAAATAATCTCCGAATATTAAAATAACCATTTTTCTCTCCAGAGTACTGTAGGTAACTTCATAAATGATTTGTCAGGTTTTAAACATGTTCAACATGTGGGTCCTTGCAGTGCATTTTACGCATAGAAATATTAGTACAGATATTTGAACATATATTCACACTGAAGTTATTTTGAAAGCAGTTACAATTTTGAAAATACTATTTATCTTTGGCATTTCTAGTCAGTACATTTTGGTTTCCTAAATGAAATATCTACCACTGCAGGTTTCTTTTGGCCTACATAATAAACAAAGTATTTTTTCTTTTTGCTAAACCCTTTACTTTTACAAGTCCACCTAAGTGCTTATTTGTGAAAAATACCCCAAGTTGGCAAGTAAAAATCAAAATTGGGATTGAAGGGTTTAAATGGTTGGTTCCAGATTGTTGATTGGGTTGCATGCTAATGTAATTTGTGAGTGTAATTTGACATGGTTTATGATGTTTACATATTTTATTTACAAACTGTATAATAATCTGGAGTTTTCTGGATACTTTAATCAGATTATTGGTTATCATCATTCATTTATGGTCTTTATTAGTTAAGTTTAGTAACTTCATAAATGAACAATTTGTGTTTAATTCTTAATGAATCAATATATATTTTGGATTGGATTGTGCAGTTTATTAAAGTGTCATACTGTGATGTGGAGGTGAGGATTAGACATTAGGGTTTAACTTGATTTTTCTAATTGAAGTACAGAGGCATAATATTATTTCATGTAGGAGCATTGCGTTTGGGGCTGTAGTGGGCCTATATCTGATCTCACTTGTATGTACTAATAATATATAAACTAAGGTTTTCTCTTCTTTTCTTACTAGTATCAAAGTAGATTAGGATCAAAATGAGACTGTAAAGGCTTAGTTTGTGCTTTTCATATTGATACATGTAAACCATTTTTTACACAGTTTTGAACAAAGTTTGAACGAGCGCTTACTATGAACCAGTATGTTTATTGGCCAAGGAAGATATATGCAGTTCCCAGTGTGACTGTGCATTTCTCCTAAATATGGCTGTAGGATAATAATATAAATGTTAATACAGTAGTGTTTCCCTCTTATCATCTATACCTTATCATAATTTGGCATAAATTACTTTTCCACTTGTTCATGAGAAGAGACATAGACTTCTTCATTTTACTTAAAATCATTTGTCCAGTATTACGTGTGCATATCCTGGTTATACTTCCAACACTACAAATTGACATAGTGGGATTGATTTTGGTGGCATTCCACTCCTTTCTTCCAGCTGGGTCTATAGGTTACAGTCTTAATCGTGCAATAGAAATTTTGAGCAAAATTGATAGTATTTTGTCCAGTGTAACTGTTAATACAGCATGTAAATGATTTAAGTAACTATTGTAATTATTGTGGAGGAATAAACAACTTTAGAAGGTGGTTTAGATGACTGTCATGCTGGTCCTGTGAATCACTCTTTTTCTTGACCTTAAAGGTAACCCAGGGCAGCAAGCTTAGACTGAGACAGCTTACATTTAGTTGTCTGAGTTTAGGGAAGATCAATTAAATACTTAATAAGGTAATGTAAAAAAGAAGAGAGTTTTAAAACAAAAAATGACAGTGATTACTTGTACAGGCTTGTGTTCCACTACAATGCAGTATTTGCTATATTCAATGTCACAGTTAAGAAAATAGGACAATAAGTGATAAGAAGATGAAAATACTCATTTGTGATAGTTTTACGTTGTCTTAAGATAACTGTATTATGTTCTGTGTTCCCATTTATTTTATAGAAAAGGAATAATCCATGCTGTTTAGGGCGTGACTGACTCTGATGATCTTGTGGAAATTATTGTAGAAATGATAGAAGCTGCTCCTCTTAATAATTACGGACATCTGTATTTTTCCAGTAGCTTTGTTATTATCAAGTTACACCTAGTATAATCTGTTTTTCTGAGTCACTATAGCAGTTTTTCCATATTCGGCTGATTCTGTGCAATTTTAAAATATTTTTATCTTCCCTGAAGCAGACAGGGAACCGTCCCTGATGTAGTTAAAAGCTCTTATGGTCTTCACCTTGTCTTGGGTGTTTCCTGTCCTCTTACAGGCACAAAGATGCCACTTACTGTGGGTAGAAAAATTGGTTGGCCACTGTACATTTTCTCATCCAGGTCATGGAGGTATCAGGATCGAAATGTGGGCCTATTTTGAGCATTATTTTCATTACAAGGAGATGAATTATAGGTCTTGCAAGAAATTCCCTTTCTTGGCCTTTCCTTACTTTTGTTAAATCTTCTATTTTTTTGTAAGTTTGACAAGACTGAGCAGAACAAGGCTAGCTTTGTTTTGTTGTCTTAGTATAATGAAGGTCAACTTTTCTGGGTCTGTTTCGGTTTTAAACATAGTGAAGACAAAGACACTTGAATCTTTTATAGTGTTTTAAACTGGAGGGTGATTTTTGTATTTGCTACCTCCTAATAAAAATGTAATTCCCTTCTCTTCTGTATTTTTTCCTGTGAAGGTAAAAGATACCCTTGAAGATACTTGGTGACACTTCTTATGTTTTCCGTTTTCCTAAGTATTTTGAAATGGATTAATTTGATTTTGTTTCCATTTTTTTCACACACCATATAGTTTTCCTAAGTCTGTATGAGAAGATACTCTGTGCTAAATACTTTGAAGAGAGTCTATGGATTTCCTTTTCATAAAATAGCAGCTCACCAGAAGTGTACATTGATGCCATCTTCATTCTTCTGATAGTAGTGGATAGGAAAACAGTTTTTAGGGAAACGGGATATAATCTGTGGGAACATCTGGGGAGTTGAGGTGCCTAACAGCAGTATGTAGTGATGCTTTAGACATTCTGGGCCGCCTGAGATACCTTCATGGAACTGGCAGGCATGATATAGGTATATGGGAGAACTGGAGTCTTCTGCAGGTACAGCTGAAGCCAGGTGGAGGCATCTGAAAAGGTATCAGGCATTTGGAATTACTTTCTTTTTTATCACTTTACTGATGAAGACTAGAAACATTTTGTAGAGATTCTTTTTCTGTCAAGTGTTTGATCCGCAAAGTCAGATTGTGTAATGCAAAGGGCTAGGGCCCTACAAATAATGTAATGACAAGAGATCTTATGAGTACAGGATCAGGATCCCTTGCAATATGTCCTCTTAGTCTTACATTTTGGGATCTTAAATCTTAACACTTGCTCAAAGGTCTTTTTTCTTTCTCTCTTGAACCTGCCTTCTCTAATCTCTGAAGTTTTAAGTTCTGACTAATTTGTTTTATTTTAGTTGCTTTAACTCATTCTGCTATGTCTTCATTCTTCCCTGTTTCTAAGGGATTGAACACAAATCCCTTTTTGAAAAAAGGACTTTTTTTCAGTAAGGGACATAGTGTTACTAAGCTATCACATGAAGAGTTAAGAGGAAGGGATGAGACAAAATCGTCAAGGAGACCCTCATGAGGTTCAGAAAGGAGCCTCTTGCTTTCTAAACT